TGCACCGCGAGTTCGTGCGCATGATGTGCCTGCAGGACCAGAGCGACGAGCAGCGCGCCCACGACTACCTCATCCAGAAGGAGGCCAAGCTGCGGGAGGAGCGCGCCGAGATGCAGGCCCACCAGGCCGAGGTGAAGCGCCAGCGCGACGCCCTCTTCATCATCCAGCAGAAGATCCTCGACGCCAAGGACAACCACGACGAGATGCGCTTCATCGCCGAGCACGAGCGGCTCGAGCGCAAGTACCGCGAAACGGAGCGCCTGGCCGCCGAGAAGGAGCGCCGCATCGCCGACGAGCTCCGCAAGGGCAACCTCGAGCAGATGGAGCGCCTCAGCCAGATGAAGGCCTGCTACTATGCTCAGCGCGAGCGCGACACCAAGGAGATGATGAAGTTCCGCGCCGAGGAGGAGGAGAAGCGCAAGCTGGAGGTCGAGGCGGACAAGGTCAAGCGCGAGAAGCTCCGCTCGGGCGTCGCCTGCCAGATGGAGCAGCGCGAGAAGGCCCGTCGCCGCGAGCTGGAGAACGAGCGGCTCGAGTTCGAGAAGGCCCGTGCGGCGGAGGCCCAACGCCAGACGGAGATCGACACGGTCATTGCCGTGAAGCTGGATGAGCTGACCAAGCGCGGATGTCTGCCAGGGCAGGCCCTCAGCACGCTGAAGGGTCGTGTGGCGAATGCGGCCCACAAGAAGCTGGGAGCAGAGCTAGCTTAAGCACACACCACACACACACCACACACACACCACACCACAGCACAGCACACCACACTCGTTTACACACAAAAGTCCTCTCCATACACGCACTCTTACGAAGATGACAATGGCACTAAAACACACACACAGACAGAGCACACATACAAATGCATAGAAATGTATGACAGAGAATCCCACGAATTAAAACTTGAAGCATACTCTGCGGTTGTGCAACTTTTTGTTGCAAAATGGGAGAGAGAGAGAGAGAGGGGGAGAGGGGTAGCTGGGGATGAGTATTCCATCTATATCCTGTCAGTGGCTGTGGCTGTGGCTGTGGCAGGACTCAACAAGTTACCACAGAAACAGCGACGGAGAGGGGCGCTCATTAAATCCACAAAACTAAAGCAAAAACAAAAAATTACGAGTAGAGAGGATAGGGGGCACGGTGGCACGGTGGCACGGGGGGGTATAAGTGTATCGTTGCAACTAAAAGGAAACTTTGATGCTGCAAAAAACATACATTCAACGGGGGAAGCGGGAGGTTAATACAAATCTCTTTATAGGGAATGAGAGCGAAAAGCTGGTGATATCCGCAAATGGGAAAATGGCAATTGTGCAAGCATCGAGGATTGTGTGGTGGAAAGCACAAGGACCGGCACAAATTACCCGCAAGTGAAGGGACACAAACAGAGCGAGTTTTTCGCAATTACATTCCGAAAATGATGCGACGATGGACCAATAAGTTGCGTAACCAGCGGCTGGACAGATGTCATCTGTCAAAGTGTATAAATTTCCAATAGAAAAACAAGGCAAATATCGCAAAGCAATGGGGGAATGACACGACTATCGGTGGTGATAGATGGAATATATATGGAATTTTTGGCATTTCTGAGAGCAAAAGTACCCACTCTTATCAGCAAAACTCAAGTCGAGCAATCATGCACATGACATGTATGTTGTTTTCAAACATTTTAAGCTCTTTTCACTAGTGTAGAGCGCAAATACTTTGGTTTTCCGATGAAATACAACCAAACGATGGAATACAAGCCTCTAAGCTCTAGAATGGGCGGTAGCAGGGAAATACCAGCAGCACATTCAGTAGATTAAGTAGAGGGGAATATAATTCCAAGAGCCACTCCCCTACTCGTCCTCATATGCCCATTCCATGCTCCTCTCTCTCCTCGCATTTGAGTGTTTTTTGTGTAAACTCAAAGTCGGTGGAGATTAATTCGTTGTACTTGCAGCCAAGTCGAAGTCTGTGGCTAATATGTCTTTGGGTATTAACCCAACGATAGATAAGTGTGTGGCATAGCAGTCGGGGGCAGGGATTAGGCAGAGAGAATGGCAGGGGCAGGAGCAGGGGCAGGGGCAGGGGCAGGGCATTTATTTTACTTAAATTTTCTTAAAGTGAAATAAATTTGGCAGATTACGATTCCGATATTTGGTCAAATGTTGCTGGTGGGTCGAATGGGTTAAGCTCTTGGGCCATGACTGAATGTTGAAGGCGGCCTAATGATGCAGAAGGAATATTACCCTTGAATGCCGTGTCCTTGGGGTAGCGGATGGAAATGGATCTCTCAGCCTTTGCTCATTATAATTGCAGCCAAAATCGTAGCATACTTTCCTGGGCAACAAAGAAATGAATGGCCAAAGGATCCGGCATCCGTATTCGCATTTGACAGGCAGTCAGGCAGACAGGACGACTGACAGACAGACAGACAGAGGGATGGGCGGGGGTGGCAAATGGGGGGATACATTCATGTGTGTGGCAGGAGAACGGAAAACAGAGAAAAGGACAGAGAACAGAGATCAGAGGGAAAACAAACAATAGTAAAACTGATTAAGTCGAAGGGAAAAACCACATCAAGCTAAACGATGATGAAGAAAAGACCAAAAGATTACAACAAAACGTTGAACGTTGAATGTTGAATGCTGCTCTCCCCTTCTCACCCTCTCCCCTCTCTCTCTCTCTCTCTATCCCTGGACACAAAAGAGGCAACACACTGGGGGGATGGCAGCAGCAGTAAAGGAAAAATGCGGGCCAAGGATACACACACACACACACACACACACAGAAGCGCACACACACATGTGCACGTACGTTTGTGTATCTGTGGGAATGGTCACAAGAAATGAAATCGAAGCAAAATTCTCTGCTATATAGAATAATTGAAAGGATATATCCCGAAAGGCGGGCGGTAGTCGTCCTGGGCGGCTGCTGCGACAATTTGTAAGATATGATAGTAATGCCCCTCCTCCCTTTCTCTCTATCCTGCTGGTGTGTCCCTCCTTTTCGTGTGTGCTACCGCCACCAACAATGATGGCAAAATTAGTCATTGTCCTGGGCTCCTGCTCCGGCCCTTTGCATATATGTGTGTGTGTGTGTCTCTCTCTCTCTAGTAGTCCTGACAATTATGTACAATTTACTTTGCATAACACTCGAGAGCAGGGCCGAGGTTTAAAGCCAGCAGCAGCAGCAGCAGCAGCAGCATAGCCAGGACCTAGTTAGCATATTTGTTGTTCCTGGGGTCCTTTGGTCCTCCCCCAAAAGAATTCCCCGAGTAAATTCAACAGAGCCAAAAAGTTAACCAACAAAAATATCCACAAAAGTGCAAAAAGTTGATGGCAGGAAAATTCAAGCCCTGGCCGGAATAGAAAATAGAGAGAGGGCAGAAAATATAGAGGAAAAATAGAGATGCATGGCAGGGAGGATTGGTCTAGGATTGGTCCCCCCTCGGTCCAATGGATAAACACACGCATAAATCTGAGCCTCCCCCAAAAAATATGTGTACAAAACATTTGCCACAACTTTGGGCATGTCCCTCCCTTGGCTCCAGCTTCCAGCGTCCACTGGCTGCTGCTGACCCTTCCCCAGGCCAGTGCTCCTCCAAAAATATTCGTATGCAAAATCTATTTGAATATCATCGCTCTCTCTCTCCATCGGTCTCTCTCGGTCTCTCGGTCTCTCGTTCTCTGGAACCTCTTGGCCACCAGAGACAAGGAGTGCGATTGCTTTTGGCTTTGGTCAACTTTGCTGCAAAAAGTTTTCTGTGGAATTATTAGAGGACACAAAAGGCTTCATCTGCTGCCGAATGTGACGAATGTGCTGAGTGTGTGTGCGCTGTGTGCTGTGGTGGAGATATTCCAGTGAATTTCGGATTAAAACGGAGAGTGAGAGGAGGAGAATGGGCGAAGGAGAGCGAAAGGACAGATGATTAAAGACGGTTGATCTCCAAAGACTGTAGAACAGGTAGCACATCCGAAAAGAACCGATGATGTCTGCTGCATGACGCGTTGGACGAACAGTCTGTTTTATCTGCAGGAAATTACTCAAATATTGGGTCTATATTGCCTCCCAAGGGGAATGCTCCGTTGTGCTCTCGCTGGAAGAACCGATGATATCTCTTGCATAACGCGTGTGTAAATAAATAAACAAAGCAAACACGTAAAAAGGGGTACATCAATAATGAAATACAAATATTAATCGGGATTAAAGAGCCCTTCAAATCGGAAAGAAATCGAATCGATAGAGTTCTTGTTCGGCATCCGTAGGGGGAGGGGAATCCTTGGAATATAGCTTGTAATATTATTGTATTTGTCGATGGGATCCATGAAGAGAGCTAAAGATTTCAAGAAAGGTGTGTGGGTGGTTGGGTGGTGCTGCCAAGGTGCTCTTTTCTGTGATGGAAAACTCTGGTGAAAAGTGTGCGATGCGATGCGAAGGAAGAGGGAGAGAGAACGAACCAGTGATTGAGTGGTGATTGAGTGATTGAAGAGAGAAAGGTGGCTGGGTGAAAGGCTGCTCCCGTGTGCTGCATCTTGTGGCAGGCAAATGGCAAATGGCAGTGTGGCAATGTGGCAATGTGGCAATGTGGCAGTGTGGCAGTGTGTGTGCGGGCTACAAAAAAAACACAGAAACCGACTGGAAAAACAAAAGAAAATTCTTCAAGATGTGCAAATTCTTTTGTGACGCAAAATGGTACGTTTTTTTGTTTTTGTTGATTATTCGATTTTTGTGTTGGATTTTTCACTCTGATTTTCTGATTTTCTTTCGTGCTGTTTTGATGGCAAGGATCCGTGGATCCCTGGATCGATGTGTCTCCAGATTTTTGCTTTGCTAACCTTGTGGTGTGGGATGTTTTGCTTTTGTGGGCAATTTTGTTGTGATTTTGGTCGCATTTGGCATTTGTTTTTTTTTTTTTTTTCAAATTGAGTTTTTGAGACTTTTGATTGATGATTGGTTTTTGATTTTGATTTTGTTGATTTTTGATTTTGCGATGCTTTTTTGGCGATGATTTTTTTGTGGTTTTTTTTTTGCGGTGGTGCGGTGGTGCAATGGTGAGTTTTTGCTGAGTTTTTTTTTTTTGATCGATTGCTTTGTACAGGTGTTGGATGAGACAGTAACTATCGAGTATCGGATATCGAATATCGGATAGCGAATATCGAATTTCGAGTATCGAATGTGGGTTTTGGATTTAGAATTTCTCCGATATGCTATAGATGCGCTTTACGCTCACGCACTTGCGTCGCAGACGCTCGCACTCGATCTCCCGGAAATCGGCGTGCGACGTGGCCGCCAGGCCACACCCAGAAATGGAGTCCGAGTGCCCGTTGCTGGACGCCGACGCCCCCGTCGCTGTCCCGATGTCGATGTCGTCGATGGCTATGTGGTGGATGCGTGGCAGCAAGGCGCTGATGTTCGGCTCACTGCTGTGCACCGTCGTCGTCGTGCCGTGTGTGGAGGATGCTCGACTGTTGCTGTTGCTGTTACTGTTGCTGTTGTAGGAGAGATCCTCCTCCTCGTCCTCGTCGTCCTCCTCCTCCTGTTCGTTGTCGTAGAGCTCCTCCTGGCGCTGCTGCTGCTGGTGGTGCTCTTCTTCCTCGCACTGGGGACAGCCGTTGTCGCTGCCGATCAGCTCCTCGTCGTCCTCGTCCAAGACGGTGTGGGCGTGCGACTGGTGACTGATGATGGCGCGCTTCAGTTCCAGGAGCAGCGGGGAGGGTGCCTGCAGCTGGTGCGGCGCCACAGCCGGGGGCTGGCAGTCGAATAGGCTCGAGGACGACGCCTCGGTGGGGGGCACCACGGGCAGCGGCTGGTGGGTGATCACCGCTCCTCCGAGCAGACTGTGCCCCGTGCTGGCCCCGGCTTCCGGGTAGATGCGATTGTCCGAGTTGGTCGAGGAGAACTTCGAGAGCAGCGACTTGGCGCTGGCCTTGTTCTTCAGCTGCTGCTGCTGAAGGTAGTAGAAGTCGCGTGGCAGCGACGATGTGGCATGCAGCGGATCCTCCGGATCGTAGTAGCCCAAGGCGGCCGGACGGAAGAGACCCGGTGTGCTCAGCGAGTGCTGCTGCTGCTGTTGCTGTTGCTGTTGCGCCTCCTGCGAATGGGAGTGCGTGTCCTGGTCGTACGAGTCGCTGATCACACTCGCCGTCGAGGCTGTGGGCGTGGCTGTGGTGCTGCCCAGCGTCGACTGGGAGCCCGAGGAGGCTGCTGCAGCGGCAGCGGCGGCGGCGGCAGCGAATTGGGCGCCCAGCAGGGGCGTGAGACCCGCGAGGAACTGTTCCTGCTGCTGCTGCTGGCGCTGTTCGTCGAGTTCGCGGCGGTAGGCCTCGATCTGGTCGCTCGGCGTCGGGGTGTTGCTGTGGATGCAGCCTTGAAAGAAATCCAATGCTTCGTACAGGATAAAACACAGGCCCAGGACAAGAAATGTCTCCATCATCAGGAATTGAAACCCATTTGGAGAGAGCCCGACAGCGGAAAAAAAAATGTCAAGAGAAGAGTGCGAAACGAAACACGGAAACGGAACGGACCGTAGCGGAACGTAACGGAACGTAACGAAACGAAACGAAACACCGCAAATCGCGCAAAACGAAACTGAACGGAACGGAACGGAACGAAAACGAAACGATTACCGTTCGGGAGTGTCGACACTCTTTCTTTCTCTTTTTCTGTTTCTAGCTTTCGTCCAAAAATTGAATTTCGTTGCTTTTAACACTTTGGCACTTCATTTTCCATTCGTTTGTTGCTTTACATTGCTCTCCTCTTGTCTCGCTTTTTCTCCCTCTTTCTTCGTTGCTTTGTCGTTTTATCCTTGACTGGAATGGAAATTGAAATTGAAACTGAAACTGAAACAGTGCGAAGAGCGGCCCGTCTGCCTCTTTTGTTATTCAATGCAAATTAATTTCGAATTTGTTTCTTGTCGTTTTGTTTGCTTTTCGCTTTTTGTGCGTATTTTCCATTTAATTTGCATAAAACTAATCGCAAAGGAGTTTCGTTTCCCCTTTCGGCGTTCTCTTTCTCTAAATGCATTAGTTTTTAATTTTTAAAGCAACTTTTCGTTTTATATTTTTTTATAGCGTGTGCGTGTGTTGGTAAAGAAACGAAACGGAATGGAACAGTTACAGTTACAGGCACAAGCGCACATACATCGAGAGACAAATACACATAATTACAGTGGGGTACATAACGATAGATACAACAAACATATACTATATACAGAGCAGATCTGTGGCGGTGGCTGTGGCTGTGGCGGTGGCGGTGCCGGTGGCTTTTGTTCATTTTTTTTGTTGTGTTTTGCGTGCGTATTGCGTGATTCTTCTATCAAGAGTTCGAGTGTGTGTGTGCCTGTGTGTGTTTCAAATAAAGATATTCATAAAACATAACATAAAACTAAGCCCCAAGGAAAAGGCCACAACAAGAGACAGGCAACGGAGAGGGAACTCTGGAAACCAGAGGAACATCTTTTCAGCACTCACTGTAGCGAAGGAATCTCTCCCCAAACACACACTTCTTCCATTCGAAACTATTTCCAAATAGCTTTTCACTGCTATCGATAGATAATCGATAAATACCAAGAGTCTGGCAAGTCTGGCAACTCTGGCAACTCTGGCTACTCTGACAGCTCTGGTCGGGGTGGGAATAGCAGTAAAAATATTCCGGCAATGGCAGCTCATTCGTTATTCATGGAAAAAAATACGGAGTTGCTTGGAGTTTGCTTATGCATTGAAAATTGTTGGCTATTTGTCTCTCTCTCTCTCTTTTCCGCTCCCTTGATTGGCTTTTCCTCATCCTCATCCTGCTCCTGCTCCTCTGCCTGCATCCTTTCGCACAGATTGTTTACAGCCATCGCCTCGGCTTCTTGCGCATCGATTGGAACATCGGTGTTGCTGTCATTATTATTACGATTATTGTCTGAATCGACAGAGGATGCCCCTGGCCCTGCCCCTGCCCCTGCCCCTGCCCCGGCCCCGGCCCCGGCAGAGATTTATTTATTGTCTGTTGCACACACACAGACACCCCCGAATGCATTGGGGAATTGAAATAGTTTCGAGTTGCTTCACTGTCGATATTTTTGATAAACCGACAGCCATAAAAACTAAATCGAAATCGAAGTGCAAATGGAAATGGATAGGGAAACGATGCAACGAAGCAAACAGTTTTATGTGTGTGTGTGTGTGTTTTTACACAGTTTTTTAACCTCTGACCTCGATTGATATTTACAGCCATTTGACAGACATCAAAAGTCATAATAATCATAAAATAAAACAGTAAGCCGAGTGCTTTTCATGTGTGGGCAACCCTGCGGATCCGCATCCGCCACGCACACCCTTTTTTTTCCTGTGCGGAGGCAAAGGAGGAGGCAATGAAGCGGAAAAGGGAAAGACCTGCTCCTGCTCCTGCTCGTGCTCCACAATCACCCCATCAAAATGCACAGCGTGCCCCAAGCCATGCCCCATTCCACACCAGACACCAGGAGCAGCGGCTAAGCCGCGACAAGGATTCATCAACAATGGACACCGGTGGGGGGCAGCGCCCTTCCACTCAATTTCTCAAAAAACTTGACGTCTTTCGTTGACCCGGAATATCCAACCGAATAGTAGGCCGTGCCTATACCATTGCCTGGCAATTTTCGTAGGGAGCAGAGTTCTATTCAGTTCTACTTGTGAGTTCGATTGTGTAAGATCCAAATTTCTCAAAGCAAAACAGGGATAAAAAAAACAAACGACATTTGTATATTCTTTTGTTTTAAAATATTTTGTTGCGTTCTTTTTTGTTTGACTACGGTATCAGTGCCTTCGTGTCGAACGAATCACAGCCTCTGGGAGCTCGCGGTGTTGTTTGCAGAGGTGCGATTTCAATCTGAATTTGAAACCAGTTTAATTCGAATCATAGGAGTTTTCTTTTCTATTCGTCCGAATAGCGAATTAAGCGACTTCCCTTACGATGTTCACAGAATGCATTGCGGCTGTGGTGGAAGTCGGAATGAAGGCCTACCGTTATTTCCGGCCACCGCCCCCTGAGCCATCGGCCGTCTTCGTCTGGAAGTCCATCTGCACCCACTGGGTGGGGGTCCTGGCTGGGCCCGTCATACTGGCGCTGATTTTCAAGCGCACCTACGACATCATCAAGGTTCGTCGCGCACTCAACGCTGGAGGGGACCCGGCAGAAAAACCAAAGCCTGCCGGAGGAGAGGCATGGGCAGAGGGACAGGTGCCCGCCGAGCAGGCCGTAGAGCCTACGGCTGCTGAAGGGGCAGCCAGCCAGGACGGTGGCGATGGCGAGCAGCAGGAAGACAAAGCGGAGGAGCCCCCCGGCCTGGAGGAGGCCCCGGCCGAAGAAGCCGCTTCTGGCGATGCTTAGGTCGTCGGATCACAAGGCCCTGCACACAAATCGAAATGAAAGCAAGCTTACAAGACCCTACACGTCACACTATTACGCGCTTTCAAATTTTCGGGGAATGTACATGCAATCGTTCGACCTGATGCCCTTCTCGGTGGATGCTGGAGGACTCGAGCTCGAAGTGTATCTTTTTGCTTGAATAAATTTCTCATTTCGATTTGTGGAATCGTAATTAAATTTTTAATGTGTGTGTTTCTGCGTCGAACGAGGAGGGGGAGGGAGGAGGGTGGGAGACCCTGAAGGAATGAAAAAACTTTTGCTGCTTCTGCTTTGGAAACTTCAAACAAATTCCAAGTAATTGCACATTGAAATTGAAAGAGAGACAGAAGGAGAGTGTGCAGAAGCGAGAAAGGAGAAGGGCAGAGAGGGGAGGAAAGAACTGCAGCAGCAGTGTCTGGGCCAAGTTAAGGGCACATTGTTATGCCCACGTTAAAGTTTACATGGAACTCGTCCCAGCCTTCCAGCCTTCCAGCCTCCTAGCCTTCGTCTCTCGGTTTTTTTTTTTTTTTTTTTGCCTCTGTAGAAAGTTGGTCAAAAACAACAACAAGATGCTAACGAGCGACACACAAAAGAGTGGGAGTGGGAGTGGGGGCCGAGGGCAGCTTAAAATTGTTATCAACAATTTAATCATTGAAAGCCATTAAAAACAGCAACAAAAAATAGAAGAAAAAACTATATTTTTTCCCCGTTTAAAGGGCAGGACTCTCCCCGCTCTCCCGCTCTCTCTCTCTCTCTCTTTCTATCGTGTAATTGCTCTCCCTCTGTCCCTCTCCTTCTCTCTCTGCACACAATGCAACTCTGATTATGGCCACAGCTGCAGAGGGAGCGAGAGGGAGGAAGTGGCCATTAATTTAATTCCCGATTGGAGGAGGGTTTCCATCACTGATTTTGCGATTATTCCGATGCAACGGTGGAAGCGGTGCAGCTCAAAGTGTGGCCTAAAAGTGCAGCTAAAACTGTGACCCGTTTTCCACCTGAATGTGGAATATGTATGGGCATTGGTGGGGCCCTGCATGGGCCAGTATGGCCTAGGGGAGGCTGAACCATCCCGGGAGTGCCTATGAGGTTTGACAGTCCTCAAGAATCGAGGTATTTTCAGCAAATGCAAGTCCTGAAGTCCCCCTGACGTCCTCTTGGAGGCATCTTTCTCGTTTGGTGGTGCCACAGCCGGACAGTGACCTGCAAGTCTGCCGTGGCACATGGTTTTCGAGGCTCTGCAGGTGGTAGTACGCCTCCGCCTGATGGCAGCACCTCGCTCAAAGTGGATCTCAAACTGCTCGAAAGTGCTTTCGACAGTGCATTCCAAACAGTAGCTGCCGTATTTAGATCTTTTTTACATTGTTCCCCGTTTTTTCGTCGCCCCTTCCTCCATCACACTTTCCGCACGATTTCCCCGAGTATTTTCCCGGGGTTTTCCCCTGGTTTTGGCCTTAAAAAAGCAACGTAGAGGCTGCCGCTGCAGATGCGATGCTGCCTGCCTCCGAGTGAAGGTTATATTTCAACAGCAACTGTCATGCAGCATGCAGCATGTAGCAGCATGTGGAATGTGGAATGTGGCAGCAGCAGCAGCAGCAGCAGTACTTTCTTTACGGCCATTGCTGGGTGCTGCTTCCACTTCATTGTGCGGCAGCCAGCCTGGAGAGCGTGCGGCAAGGGGTGGTGTGGTAGCAACAAAAAGTAAACCGACATAAGTGTTGCGTCGTTCGTTATTGTTATGGGGCACAAGGGGCACAAGGGGCACACGGGCCACACGGGGGCATGGGGAGGAGTCGAACACGGACCTTAGGCCGAGGGCAGGTCATGTTAACCTCTTTTTACTGTGCCTCTGTTGCAACATCAATTTTTAAATGCGTCCGCCCCCCAGCAGCAACCTTGCCCTTGCCACTTGCCACATGCCACATGCCGCACGCCACACAGCCAGCAGCAGCAATTGTGACAATTTTGAAACAATTGCAACAAACTCAATGAAACGGAATAAATTGAACAGAGCGGAGATGGCACCGGGCCCGGGACTGGCACTGGCACTCCTCGTGCGCCCTGCAGCTGCAATTTCTGTAATTTACATTCACGAGTGGACCGCAGAAACCAACGGAAACATGATCATTATGCCACGCACTCTGCGGTCATCGTGGGTCCGTGCTACGGGGCTGTCGAGCCATGAATATATGGATCTATCAGCTGTTCATCTGTTTGGATGCGGCATTCAATTGAATGGCAAGTCCCATTGCAGTGCCCCGTGGCAGTGGCAGTGTCAAATTTATTGAATTGAATTATTCACAAAAGGCCCTCCGCATCCTCAGCATTCCAGGGAATGGCATCCGATTTCCCACACCACCCACCCCACCCCCGCGCAAAAGCAGTCTGCATTGAACTTTTCCACAAATTATGGAAAAGCTGAAAAACTTTAAGGAGGAATATTTTGGGGACAGGCCAAGGAATCATCTGCATCTGCAGGCGGATGCGGCAAGAACTTTTCAAGTTTGTTTTCGTTCAATTTGCTAACCAAACAGCTGAACCATTAAGAACATCTCCTCTCGAGGAGCAGGAGGAGGAGCACAAGGAGGAGCAGCAGCAGGAGGCACACGAGTGCAGCCCGCGGCGGGCTCTGCTCCGCTGTGATTTTGCGGCAAAAGCACTCTCTCTCGCTCTCGCTCTCGCTCTAGAAATAATAAAAAATTAACCAAAAAGAGCGAGAGAGGAAGAGAGAGAGAGAGATAGAGAGAGATAGAGTAAGGCGGACTTTAAGCCGGTGGAATGTGCTGCATGTTGCACATTTTCCTTTATTTTTTGCACAATATATCCATATCCTTTGAATTCAAATTCCATACGTCCCCCATCCCCCCCACCCCCGCCCCTCATTCCGCCTGTCTCTTTGGCCTCTCTTTTTAATAAATGCAAAGTATGCATATATGGATTTTATTTTATTTCCCATCCTCGAGCATCCCCTCGCATCCCGCCGCATCCCTGCATCAGCAGTGATGTTTGCTTTTGAGGTTCTTGCAACGCCCGTGCCCTTGCACCCCGCGCTCTGCGCTCTGCGCACTTCCATTCTTTCTTTCGGCTCCATTCATTCCTTCAGCCGCTGGTCATTAAAAATATGAAATTTCATGTGGGCACAGAGCACACATGCAGCAAGCAGCATGCCACATGCCGCATGCCGCATGCACCCACACGCTCAAAAGAACACTTAAATGAATTACAGTTCCTTTTTTTTTCATCGGGAAATTCATCGGGAAATCTGTTTGAATTGAATGGCCAGCACACGGACGGACAGACGGACGGACGGACGAAGGGAGGACGAGTCCGCGAGGAGGATGTGTGCGTGTGTGTGTGTGTGCGTTTCAATATTCCCGATGAGCGCCCCGCCCCTCCCCGCCCCAGGACATGGCAGCAGGAGACATCCACAGCCAATTCATTTGGCCTTTCTTTTGTCCACCATTTGGCGGCGGACAATCGTCTGTCGATTATTTCAGTGAGGCTTCTGCCCTTATGCCATAATGGTCTGAGTCCGAATCCGTATCTGGTAATCTTTTATCTGCTTGTGTTTCGCTGATGGGACTTTCCCCGGCAATCGTTGGCGTAACCGATACACACTTCTGGAACTATCGATGCCCTGTCCGATAACGATACAATTTGTGAAGTTGTTTCGAAATTCTGTTTAAAATATCATTTTGATCAAAGAAACAAGACATTTTCTGCCGTTTATCGATAATTAATCGACTGTTATCGATGGCGATATAATGTATCGACCGTTATCGACCATTTATCAAGCATTATCTATCAATTTTATGTATGTCTCGATTATTTATGGACTAAATTAACTCATTCCATAAATTATCGATGATTTATCGATCATTTGTAAGGTTCCTATCCCCCATCGATCATTTATCCATGATTTATTGATCAAATTTGATCAGAAAAAGTTCTGTACCTATTAACAAAGCCACTACGCCAATAACCAGCACTTATCGACCATTTATCGATAATTTATCATAATTTGTACTGCCAATATTCGAATAAAAACCTTTTTTTAGGCCAAACAAGGGAGAACCCACAAACACAAACACACAAATAATTGAATGAATTTTCCCGATCCCCATTTCCCACACACACACACACGCACACACACACAAACACCTTTCAGTGTCAGGGCTGGTGCTGCATTATTTGACGGCCATTGAAAAATGTTTGCCACAAAACGAAATGACCCAAAGGAGCGAAGGAAGAAGCTGGGGACTGGGGACTGGGCTGCCTGTCAAATCTGCTGCGTTATTACATTTGCCATTGAAGATGAAGGACCTTTTGGGCCCTGTCCTCCCCTCCCCAGTGTCCTCTGGCACACAGCACATGGGTTAACGGGTGCGGATGAGCAGCAAAAGTTGCACAAAAATTGACAAAATATAAATAAAATATGGTGCAAACAATGATGCTGCCTGGGACGTGGGACGTGAGGCATGTGACAGAAACAGATGTGCCCCGCCAGGTGAGTGGGGCAGGCGTCGCATAGGGGGGGGGCGGAAGGGGGGCTGGGATAAGTATTGACACTAGTGGAGGGAACCAATGGAGTGACGGCGTTCGGGTTGCCACTCCACACACCCGACCCGACAGTTGCCAGAGTTGCCATCCTCCAATTGGCATTTCACAATGATGACGTAATTGATTTTTAAGCAAATACAAACACACTTTGTGAGCGCATAAAAAAAGGACACAAGAGACAGGAGAGACACGAGAGAGGGAATAAGAAAAGATTTCCAAATAAATAAAGCGAAACGTGCAAACATTGATGACATAGCACATGGAAAAAGAGAAAGAGAGGGGGAGAGGGAGAGAGAACGGTTTAAATCAAGTAAAGAGCCAAAGAAAAAGGAAGCCGAAACAGAGCCAAGGAAAGGAACGTGCCACACACACACACTGAAGGGTGGCGAGAAACTGCAGCAGGTGGAGCGAGGTGGCCTCTGAGGTGCGTGTGTGGCAGCCACCAGCCACCAGCCAGAAGCCTCCAGCCAGCAGCCACTTTTGAGTGCTTGCACAACGGGCACGACTTTTCTTTATTTACACTTCTGTGCCGCCCCATACATCAGCACACAAAGGGAAATGCGGGGGAGGGGGAAAGGGGGAAAGGGGGATGGGGGGCTACCCGTGATTGAAGCACTTTTACAGTCGCCTTTGCGCCGTGTGCGGCCCCAAATCAATGCAATTGCAATCGAGACTGGGGAAAAACATGTCCAAACAGTTGCGGATAAGTATCTTAAAGATACGTAACATCTGTGGGGATTTCTCCAGATGAATAACTGATAGATTCCAGCAGTCATTCGAGACTCTTTGGGAGGCCATTTTTATTCAGTTTTTCAGTAGAAAAAATAAACCCAAAATCGATTAAAAAAACATTCTAAAAGTGGCGAACAGAAAACTCTGCATTTCAAGCAGAGTCTGCTCCCAAAAGGAAAGCACTCCGTAGCTGTTTATAGGGGCCATAACCTACTCAAACCCACTCAATTTCCGAGCTGAATTCCAGCTTGTGGCCTCAGCTTCTGGGGCTGCATCCAAGGGTCAAGCGTTTTGAGTTAATCACAAAATTTGTGTGAGTGTTTCTGTGAGTGTGAGTGAAAGTCATTTGAAAACTGAGTTCTTAAGGTCAAAATGCTGTCCGTGAAAGCCAGAGTATCCGTGCAGTGCCATGCTCTGTGTGTGGGTTTATTAAATTAGATTTGCATTTCCCAGAAATCGGAATTGTGGGGCGGGGGGGCGGAGTCCTCCATCGATGCCACAACAACAGCGACAACAACAGCCCCAAAATGATATGCAAAATTAGTCGGAACGTAGTTTCTGTTCTGGGATTCGAGGAAATATACCATGAGGAAGCAGTGGACCTCTGCTCTCCTCCAATACTGAGAACAATGCAAATACTTATCTCCCTCTCTGGGGTATCTGCTGGAGTGCAGGAATCAATCTAAATCTGAATACAATACCAAAAGGAAGCCAGAGGAGTCCGGTGAAAGGAGCAACCTTTTCTTTCTAATTGTTAACGGCTTTAATTATGTGCATAAATCTATCTGAAGAGTGAACTCCAATCGTAGGTCCTGGAATAGGTTCACTACATATGTACATACATATCTATTCCACATCTATCTAGAGTTAATGCAGTTCATTTCCAAAGGAATTATCCCCGTAAGTGGGTAAATGTGTGCCTGGAATTTGAAAGAAGTAGATTTCCATCAGATGATGGAAAAAGCTTGAAATGGAAAAAATTCTGCAAAACTCCCGAGCGAAATGTGGGAGGGGAGGGTGGGGAAGGAAATTCGACTGTGGGGATATGGATAATCATTGATCGAATCCGGATGATAATGATGTGCATGACGCACACACATGGGTCATTCTCATTCTGTAACTGTTGTTGTTGTTGTTGCTGTTTTCTTGTGATTTTTTATAGCTTCCACCCCGCTGCCCCGACCCTGTGCCACCCCTTGCCCCTCTTGTTCATTTTGTTTCACTCTCGGTTTTTGTTTTTCCTTCTTTTTGTGTGTTTTGCTTTTATTTGCCTCTGTTTTTTTTCTCTTCTTTTGTGTCCCTTGTGTCTCCCTCTTTCTTTATTTGTTGTATGTTTTTTTTTTATTGTTGTTTTTATGCACACACACACACATACAGACGTACACCACAAGCAAACAAATAAACGCACGCACACACACACACACACACATCCTTTAACCGGCTCTTCAGATTTATTTACTTTTTTTTTTCCTTAAAATTTATTTTTGATTTTTATTAGTATTTCTTGCAGCACTTCTATGGTTCACATTTAACATTGAACAGCAAAAAAAATATGAGAAAAAAATAACAATTTTTGAATGCAACTAAAAAAAACCTTCTATATTTTTGTATTTTTATTTGTAACACGCGTGTTGTTGTTGTTGTTTTTTTTAGGCGCGCGTTAACGGAGGCGGCTTTTGGTGCTTTTTCTTTGGGCGGTTGCTGCTGGTACCGTTCTTGCAACGGTATTCGTATTCTTTAAATTGTTTTGTTTGTTTTGGTCTTGGTTTTTTTTTTTTTGGGGTTTGTTGCGTACTTTTTTCTTATCTTTTTTTGGGGTATTCTTGGAACTGTGCTTTTGGTATATTTGTTCTTATTATTGTTTATTTTATTGTTGCCTGCTTATGTCCTTCTTTGTATTCCTTCGCTCTACCTAAGCTTCCTTCTGTTCGTTTTGCTGTTGCTCTTGCTATTCTTCAACTTCATCTTCATTCTAATCTTCTGCCTCTGATGTTCTTCTTGTTTGCATTTGCCGCCTGCTCTTCACTTCGCTCTTTCTTTCTTTCGGCTTCTGTCTCTCTTTCCGCTGCTGCTGCGGCTGCTGTCTATTGTAACTGTGAATGTTTGAGCCCCGTGTTACCGTTTGCCGTTACCCGCGCACGACGACCGTTAGACGCCCGTTTTGGAAACAGACTGCGGCGCCCATCGGCAGCAGCGAGATTTATCCCGTTAAAGAAGATAACTGTGCCTGCTGCCGCTGCTGCTGCTGCTGGCCCGAGAGCAGAGCAGCCGACCGAATGCCGAAAGCCGAACGAGAGCCGAGCCAGAACGAAGTCTGGAGGCTGGTTGGCGCGTAACTTTGCTGCCGCTGCCGCTGCCGCTGCCCGTCTGCTGCTGCTGCCTGTAGTTTTTGCTGTTGCTTTTTCTGTTCTACTTCTTTTTCTGCTGCTGCTGATGCTGCTGCTGCGGGCCTCTGCTTCTTTTGCCGAAGCATTCCTTCGCTCTTTGGCTTCCCACTCGCACTCCCTCTCCCGCTCTTACACGCTCTTTGGTGGTGAAAAGCTTCAAATGGTGAGAGCATGTTTCAATAAAGTGAACAAGCAAGCACGATCATGCACTGAGAGCAGCGCTGCTCATACAAGCTAGATTCGAAAATAATATGCCAGAAATGGCCAAAAGCCGAAAATAAATACATAACTTACAAATTGGACTAAATACCCCCCAAAAATAGGCGTTTTTATTCAAAGTGGCAATAAATGAAGAACTTCAACATCATATCTAATCCTTCCTTTGATACAATACAATAGTATTTTTCGCTTTTAATTAATTAATTTACCCATTTTACATTTACAATAATACAATATATAAAAATATAATATATAATAAAATAATATAATATATAAAATATTTCCTTCGGCTATCGGTTATTTTTTGCATGCAAGGAATTTGTCTGTGGACTGAAATGGAGCCTCGTAACAAATTTCCCGAAAATCCGGAAGAGATACAAAATATATTTAGGGATAAAACAAGCTGAACTTATTGAGTCCACTCTTAAAAAGGCTAGATATAGCCAGAAATAGGCTAAATTGGCAGCACTGACTGACAAAAGAAGTACCGTCAAGGAGTATGAAGATTAAAAGAAGGTGAAGGGTATGTAAAGAGGATCACAGATAGAGGAAGGGGAGCAAAAAAGTAAAAATAAAAGAGCAAGAATGAGAGAGTTAGGATAATTAGTCAAAGGAAAGAAGAAGAAGATTTTCTGAGACAAAAGACAAGAATATGATGAATGGAACTATAGAAATACAGACATATTCTATTCGCTGTGAGTTAAGTACGAATAACAGAAAAAAGGGAAATCCCGAAGGCCGGATATCAACAGCATTTCTCTACAATCATTGCACGAAAACCGACTGATATCGCCCAGAGATCTTTTATCAACTATCTTCACTTTCGCACATTTAAAAACAATATTGTTTGTGCTCTCTTAAATGGAGTTCCCACCACACGCACGCAGAGAATCCCTCTTCCGCTCGCGCTCTCTCACGCTCTCTCCGTGGTGAGTTTTGGCAGCGGCGCCATCTATGGCAGAGCTTTACACCACCCAAAAAGCCGCCGCACAGCAACCGTTAAGAGTCGAAGAAGGCAAGGCAGCAAATCTTGAGGAAAAGGGTAATTGAGTTCGTATAATGGTGGCATGGTAGGATGGTGGTGTCGGTCATTAAGCCTACCACACAACAACCCCACTTCAGATGTGTGGAAGGGTGATCCGAGCTAATTCGAACGAAATTAGGCAAACATTTAATGAACCAATTAGCAGGATTTTGACCATACAGCTGCTCCCCCCCAAAACCAATCAGACGGCCATGTCTCCATCTGCCCATGATGCGGCTAATCTGAATATCCGTTTCCGGTTTGGGCCGTATATCCGTGCAACATCCGCTGCACGAGGCGTGAGTGCACCTAAAAGATCCCGCAAACCCCACCTGAGAGGCGCATACATACATGTACATTAATAGATTCCACTCAGTCTTGGGCGGGGCCGGAGGGAAACCGCATGAGGAGCACGGATAATGCGGCGGAAGAGTAACATCAAAGGGGATTTCACTTTTACACATCAGTGTGTCCTGCCCCTCCCAGCCCGCACCTACCTTCCAGGGCCCATCATTCTCGCTCCATTCGTGTGTCAACCCCAAGGAAAATTGCGTTTACTCACCTGAAAAGGAGACCAAAGAAAAAGAACGAGAGAGAGGAGAACGTTAGTCAAGTAAAGAAAAGTTTTCGGCTTCGTTTTTATTTTTATTTTATATCTTATATGTTTATGTACGAGTGTGTATTTCTTTTAGACAATTCCCACATCCAAAAACAACAAAAAAAAAAGAGGAAAAAGGGGAAAAGGAAACCACTTTGATATGAGTAAAGTGCAAAATTCTGTTGCATATATTCTTTCTTTTATTTTTTCTGTGGAACAAATTGCTTCTGGGGAAGGGGAGATATGGCAGTAATCTTTAGAGTTGAGTGTTAAAGCAGGACTTAAAGTCGACTAAAGCGTCCTTCGAGCGTCCTTATGCTTTGATCGACTTATGGACACAGAAAATATTTTCAACGAAAACTAAAATCAACTCGATACATGATTCCCAATGCAAAAGTGGGGGAAATACAGGCAGGAAAACATCTTAATCTTTTGTGCTTTTAAGCAAAAGAGTTTATGAAAAGGGTATTCGAGGTACATATATCATTCTTTTTCTCTGTCCAACCCAATATTTCACACTCTTAAAGCAATTCCTTTCTCCCACCTCTCCCTGCAAAAACAACATGCATTTCGTGGGCACGACTGTTTCCAAAGTCCGAAGACAGAGAAATCCCATTTGTTCCTTCACCACTTTCCTCATTTAACCACGAGTTTGCCCCAATATTCCACATTCGTGGCTATGCTTTTTTTTTTGGAAGAAAAACTGTACTCCTGGATACAAACGGAAATGGCCTAAAGTTAGATTGATGATGTCTCAATAAACCACATTATTGGGGGATTCTGTGTGGTCTGTCTAGACGGCTAGCGACTGCAACAAAATAACGCAAAATTTATGGGGCATACACCTGCTTGAGGCCCAGGGCCAGGACCCCCCATGCCTCGTGCCTCGTGCTTCGTGCCTCGAATGCTCTAATTGCTGAAGCAAAGTGGAATAAACTATGAGCAGGTCGGGCGGGCACCGGACCAGCTCCTTTTGATGTGGATGTTGATGTGGATGGCCTTCAAGAAAATGAATCACGAGCCAACTAACTGTAAAAATTCATTATGTCGCATGCCACAAGGAGGGTTTCGGTTCGGCTCGGCTCGGCTCGGTTCGGTTCGTTTCGGCCACGAGCAAAAGCAGATTTCGATGTTGGCGACAGAAAAGTTGTTTGTGACTGGAATTGGAATTCCTTTTGGCACGGACCCAACCGAACAGACAAATCATTTGGCAACCTGAGAGGGACACAGAGAGAAAGAGAAAGAGAGAGAGAGAGAGAGAGACAGGGAGTGTGAGCATCCCCTGAAGGTTGTAGGATGTACAAGTATCTTCAACTTCGACTTCATCTTCATCCCAGGCCAGTAGCCCGATTGCCAGTCAAGTGTTAAAATCGATTAAAGAAAAGTTTATTGCTAAATTGCTAACTGGCTAACATTTCCCATGAACTGAACACCCCATCCCCCGACCACCCCTGCCCTCCCCTACCCTTGAACACTCAACACTCATCCTCCTTGCTGTCTCTAAACTTTGAAGATTTTGTTGGTGGTCGTTTTTTTGCAGGTTAGTTGCATATTTCTGCGGCTTAATTTGCCCGCAGGAGAAACTTAAAAAACAATTAGAAACTTTTCCCTTTTCGGGCCGCAATACATTCGAGCGGGCCCTCCGCCTGCTCCGCCCTCTCCCGCTGCTAGTATCTCCGTGGACTTTCGGGGCGAATTATGAGCCAGAGATGCTCCTGCTCCGCCCCCAACCCCCCCGCCCTCTTCCACCGGGCTTAATTGGCCCTCTGATAACTTAAGAGTTGCAAACAAATTGAAAGGCTTCTTAGATTACGACCGAGATTTCGGACAGAGATTTTGTTGCCGGGGAACCAGAAACACGACATGAAGCGGAGCTTCAAAACTGGTTCTAAAAAAATTAGATACGCATTTTGTTTCAATACGTAAGCTGTTCAGTCCATAAATACATTCAACAAATGGCAACCAATAGGAAAAATAATTGTGCTTTATTGAGCCGGTTCAGAGCCTCTTTGTTGCGGCTACTGTTCAAAGGAACCGCTTCGAGAACCATTTAAATAATTAAATACACTTTTTATACGGAATATTCCTTGGGAAATCAATAAAATGTCCTCTACAATCAATAAATGTATTACTTTTCCCATTCAAAATGGAAAGAACCTGTGCTGAACCCCTGAACTGCAACTGGTTCAATAGTTGTATCGATAAAGATTCATTATCGATGAGTGGTTCATCCATCGCTAAGACGCTTCTCTTTCCAATTTGCAGTCAAAATATTCTAATTCAGTGGAATGGAGAACGTGCCAATAGTCATCGCAAAGAATGCAGGAGTCTCTAAAAAATTTGGCAAGCGCCCACAAAAAGGATTCTTCGAAACAAGATAATGAATCCAGTTCTCTGACATGTGCCTATCGGGCTGATGAAATGGCGCTGATGAGGCTTTTCATCAAGGAAAAGGTCATGCTGACGATGACAAATGCTCCTATGGCGGCGAATCTATGGAGGATCAGAAGAAGGAACGGAAGAAGATGGGACCTAATTCGGGTAAGACACAGGCAACACACTAAAGTGAGATATTTCTTATTAATTCCATCAATTAAAGCGCAATAGAGAGGATCCCTCTGTAGATCATTGATGTTTGGTTTCTGTACTATGTTTCCCACAATTCCCAGTGGTTTTCCCTTATATATGTTATTTTCTAAGACTGGCATCGATATAAAGTCTTCTCTGAACAGAACCTCAGGGAAAAAGCCAAGAAACTTCGGGCCAATGGCAGCCTTGCGGACAAACATCTTAGCCCTTCTTTGTCTGGGGACTACCCCTCTCAAGAGAATGCTCTATCGGGTTCCCTTTAGTGCTACAGGCATCTAAATACCATTCCTATAGTCCGAGAGAAAGCACAGGAGAGCACTGCTGGGAAAGT